TTATTTCTTTCTTTAAAAGGGGAAGTGCAGCTAAGTATACTTTCAACAAGAGCTTAGAGAACAGTTTCCAAAAGAACCTGGGGAAACTGAAGTCCAACCTGGAGAATTTTTAAGCATAATTTAATTCTGTAATAATAATACTCACAGCAGCATTTAGTATTTACTGAATGCTTAATTCTTGGTGCAATATGATACACTTAACTGGTTTTTTCTCACTGACTTCTCACAATGACCCTTTAAGGCAGTTGTTATTTATTAATATTATTAGTACTAGTGTCAATAGTAATGGTATTCTCCTCATTTTACAGAGGAGGAAACTGAGGCTTACAGAGTTTAAGAAACTTGATGAAGACCTCACAGATAGTCAGTGGTAGAGGTGGGGCTTATAGCTATGTCATTCATTTCCTTATCTCAGTTTTATACTCCATGGGGGGATATTGTCTGTAATAGTGATTATCAATTTCTAAATCAAATAAAATGGACTCAAATGCCTCCCTTTCAACTCTCACCAAAGTCAGACCAGTAAGGGTGAAAAAGTGACAGGGAGTTGTAAATCCTGTGTTCTGGGCTCAATTCTTTTTAATGATTACAAACTGCAAATCTGCAAATCACTTTACCTCTTTGTGAGCTTTGAAATCTCTATCTATAAAATGGGACAAACATCCTTTCTTTGTTCACAGGGTTGTTTTTGTATTGATAAGAGAAAAGAAAACATTTTACAAATGGAACAGATTAATTAAAAGACAAAATTAAGCTAAGAAAACTTAAAATGCATATGGAGTTTCCAAAATAGAGTGATAATGGGATGCTATTTTATTTCCACATAGGTTACCATAAAGTAAAAACATGGGGTACTATAGCAATTTGAAATAATGGAGTAAACAGAATAATAGGTTCCAGAAAATAATGTATGTATCAGAATTCTAAATATATTTCAAAACCCACCACCCTTTTCATTATTGAATGATAATTCTCTGGACTTAAGATCGAGACATGAATATAACTGCTGATTTGTCTTAATGAGAACATTTCTCACTATTTTCACTAGCTATCAGTCTTAATGCATGATTCTTTCTTACCATGAATAGGTACTGTCTGCTTTATTTGGTGACTATTTTCTTTATCTCCTTGCTCCTCAAAGTCAGATATCAGCAAGGCTGACATTCCTGCACTGTTAACACACTTCTGTGCTGTGGACTGCTGGCATGACCGGTTGTTTTTGGATCCAATGGGTCTAATTGTCTGTAAGGAAAAGGAATTAATTTGTGCATTTAAATATATAGGAACTGCATTTATTTCCTGTAGAAACTACAAACTACATAGGAAAAGTAATATTTGGACATATAAAGGGTGAGAAAAAAAACTACAGGAAACATGATTAAAAAGTGATGGAAAAGGAAATTAATGTGAGAAATTAGAAATAGAAGGAAAAAAATAATGAGATAAAATAGAAGACAAAAAAGTTTCCTAGACACATAAATGAACATGTGTTTATTTGCTACACTCCATTTTTAGTAGGTAGAAGCTGATTTAAAAATCACTATGTATGTCAGAAATTCAGAAGAAATTAAAAATAAAAAACATAAAATTTGAGAATCTGTTCATTGTAAGGTATCTCGTCATGATCCAACTCCTTTTTTGAAGAAGATGGCAAAATGTGCTCGCATTTATTTCCCTATAAGTTCTGTGAACATATTTATGAACATAATTAACATTTACATAATTAATGTAAATGTTAATTATGTTGACATGACAAAAAGGAAACAGTTTTGATGTCTTTTAAAATCCAGAATTTCTGATCCAAATTTATTCAAGCCTTCTGCTTTTGGCATGCAGTGTCTGTCTGTCTCACTGTCTCTCTCCCTTCCTCCGCTCTACAAGGGGAAGAAACCCTTCCCTTACCATGTCGCTGATACTTAGATAAGCTCATCAAACCTTGTGCCTACCTCACTGGATATCCTCATGTTATTTCTTCTGCCAGAGAGTGGAGGTGGTCCAAGAACTTTGGATCCAAAGGCAATATGACAAACATCTTGATTTTTACTGTTCCGTACACTACCTGTTCCTCTGTTAATGAACTGATCTGTTTTGTTAAAGGAAGGTAATAACAGTCCATTAATGGGCATAATGACAAACACCATGTTGCAATATTTCTGCAAGTGCAGTCCAGGTGCTGTATGATCCAAATCACATCTCCCAACCCTCAGCACTATTAAAAAATGCAGATACTAGAATCCAGCATCAGAGGTATCAGAACTATAGAACTAGAATCTTGAATGAGGGTTCAGAATACTTTTAACAAGTTTCCCCAAGTAATTTTTATACTTAACCATCATTTGAAAATCATTACCACAAATA